GCGCGTGCAAACGCACATCAGCTTTTCGCTTCGGAGCCGAGCCTTCTACAGGACGAATCTCCGCGAGTGTTGTAGAGAAACAGCTGGCGTCGGTGTGACGGCGTATCAGCGGGGGTTGCCATCCAGGCTGCTGAAACCTCAGCGAGCTGCAGCTTCCATTCTGCGGTCTCGCCGCGACCTCCCCTGGGCGCTTCAGCGCTCTCTCTAAAAGAGTGTTTTCCTTCTAAAAGAGACAATTTCTAAAAGAGCTTCACGAGCGACGGGCGTCTTTTTAAAGATGGCTTCCCGCTCGTGCGTTTCTGGATGTGGTCGTTTCCTGGCTTCATCTGATGGTCATGATCGCTGCCTCTTGTGCCTGGGCTTACAGCACGCTGAAGCAGCGCTCATACGTCTCCGTTCCCTCCTTCAGGGAACGAGGGTTACACAAGTAACCTAGACGATATTTATATATTTACATATTTTTGTTTGTAGTGCTTAGAGTTGAACTGCAGCATTAAATACAGATATTTATATATTTACATATTTTTGTTATGTAAGGCTATACAAAATATTTGACAAAAATATGTATATTTTTAAATTAAAATACATGTATTTAGATTATCTAGATTATGTATTCAGATAATAAAGCATTGTCTTCATCACTGGGACCATTAGGCAGCTTCTCACAAAGTTTTTTGGGGTTTTGCTGTCTTTGTGAGGACCAACACACAGCTGCTGAAAATAACTCACACATACAGAGACAGGCACACAATACACACATACACACTGCTATTAACAGCCTCAATACTCTTCTTAATTGTAGAATCTGTACCTGTTCCTGGCACAGCCGAACTGCCTGGTGCATTTGGACCTGTCAGGCACTGACTGTACCGTAGACTCAGTGAGTTGACAGTGTGTCTCATCCTTCTGAATTTGTTATTGCCAAACTGCTTTTTACTCGCCATGATTTATGTCATTGCACCCAGGATGCGAGACAACAATTTGTCTCTGATTTTATATTGATATTTCTGTCACATTTAATGGTCCTAAATTGCAGAATTATACTAATGTTAGTCATTCTTTTGCTGCCACTCTCCTTCCCTCACTCTCTATTTTTTCCTCTCTGTTTTCTGTGTCCTCTTTCCATTTCCTCTCAGTTATTTGGAGCTCTGCTGCGGGGCTGCTGTGCCGATCTCTCCTACTTTAACCTGTCCAAAAACTCCTTCTCTCACAGGTGAGCTAAACTGCCACCCACCAGCTCTCGCATGATAATCTGTCACGTTTGAGTCAGCCTCACAGGTGAGCTAAACTTGCCTGCTTCAACCACGCACATCAGTTTGACTCATCTCAGTTCCTCAGGAAGCACTTAAGGTTAAAAAGTAGAATCCTGCTGGAAAGGACTACTGTATATAAAATGCCATGGTATTCACACAGAAAAATCATTATTTTGTCTTGTTTTTCAGTAAAAATATCAAAACATATTTGAAACAAGATATTTACTTGAGATGCAAGTTTATTTCTGAAGATATTAAGACTTATTTTCACATAATATGTCTTTCTATCAAGTTTAGTTTTCTTATGGCAAATACAAATAATTTTTTGCAAATAAATAAATAAATACATTTTATTGAGGTTTATGCTTAAAACAAGAAAAACAATTTGCTAATATTTTTCTTCTCAAGACAGGGTGTCCGCGGGGTCTTTTAAATGTATTAAAATTTGATAAATCAATTTAGAGAAAATTAAGGCCCTTAAAAAGTATTAAAACATTCTAATATTGTATATAATTTCGCACATCTGGGCGCCGCTATCAATATGTGGGGTATTTAAATCCCCTTTGAATGAGCGCTCACAGTCGCAGTTCACTTTCACTTTCGATTTCGCGATCTGGCGTGGCAGGCGCGCACTGTGTAAAGGGAGCACATCTTACGATAAAATATATTTGTCAATGAGCTCAGGAGCTGTTGAGGAGCAAATCCTCCAACATCTTGTCAGTTATCTCTCCTTACTTTTGACCCGTGATCAGTCAAATCTGACTTCTGCAGCTCGTGTTGGATGCAGGGTTGTTGTTGTTTTTCCATAAAATTGGACTGCTTTTAAACTGTTGCCATGGGTTGATTTCCCCCAGAAGGTTAAAGGTTTGAAATATTGCATAAATTACATTTGGTTGAAATGCTTGTACTGAAACATTTTGCATTCTACCTGTAATAAAACTGTGCTAAATGTTTTGGGCCACACTAGTAGGAAGCATTTGAGCTGTGTTTATGATAAATGTGCATAACAGTGACGGTAAGATATGTATTTTAGGGATGGAAATGACATTTTTATATTTGGGACATGGTAATTGCGCTACTTTGGGCTGTTTTTTTTACTGGCATGGGCTTGGGCATGCACAATTAAAATGATGTAATAGTTGTGATCATTATTTTACCTTCCATGATCATTCAGACATGATCAGGTGCAGTACTGACACTCTGTCAAGTCTACATCAAATCAAGCACTCCGTAATCACAGGTAAACTGTCTGATCAGTCAGATGTTTGACATGACAAGTGTTCCACAAAACAGCTATGGTTTGCAGACAGTTATAAGAGTTGATGTGACAAATACATCTTTTGAATATACTGCATGAACTCTTTGCCCCGTTAGCTCGGAGTGCTTTATTTTCCCTCCTCAATAAGTTTTGTCAGTTGTTTTGTTTATTGGTCTTTATTGGTTTCTTGGGTTGCATTGGTTAGTCACTCAATTCTCTTGTGCTTCGTTCCCCCCTTCTGAATTATGTTGTATTGATAAGGAGTTATCACAAAGTACGTCTATTTAGTTGTGCTATCTTACAATCAATATATAATAAATGTAAGTTAAAGTGTCGCCGATGTAACCGGTTAAAACTTGGAGTGGCGATGAGGTCTTAAAATGTATGGAAAGAGTCTTAAAAAAGGTCTTAAAAGGTATTAAATTTAACTCCATGATTCCTGTATATACCCTGCAAGAAACTATATAGTTTTTAAAAAAATAATGTTTAGATATATTTTTGTTATTGGAAACAAAAAAGTACAGAACCAGGATTATTATAGTAAGCTAAACCCAAAATCATTCAAACATTTTCGTTATTTAAAATAATTAAAGCTGCAGTCTGTAAGTTTTGCCTCTTTGTCGCCATCTGTTTGAAAACCTGGAATTGCAGCTGTGTGCGGAATTATCTAGCTTGCGTGGGTTGTGAGTGGGCGCGGCTCCAGCGCGGATGAATCTAATGTTTTGAAGAGTATGTGTGGCAGTCAGACACTGCACCAGTGTGGATATTTACTGTACTTCGCAATCACAGATTCCAGCCTACATCTTGGAATATAACCCAAATAAGAATTTTCACCATATATTGTCATCTGAACAAGTAAGTAACAAGTCTGCCACGTTTGTTCTGACCAACTGAGGAAAAAAGCATTACAATAAATCTCGCTACCAATGGTGATTAAATCTAAAGATCGGTTAGCTCACATCACATCAAACCGTTCAAATTATTATTATTGTTATACTTTATTCTCAAATGATTAATGTTAACAACATCAGTATTGGTGACTATGAGTATAGTGTGTATTAGCCTGTAGATTTAAATTTCTGCACAGTCTAATCTAATCTATCTGTAATCAGAAGCACATTTATAACTGGAATATAATTTCATTTCATTCACATGTGTTTCATAAACACATAATCCTTTATGTCACATGTGTTTCATGAACACATAATCCTTTCTGGATTACAATCCTCCATCAAAATGATACATCTAATTATTCTAGTTGCTGTGAGAAAAGGCTATAAACGATCCGTCACCTGCAGGATCCTCACATGTGATAGCCTAGTAGCCGGGACAACTTCTTTATGTTTACAGAAGTGACGTAAGGACGCAGTGCCATGCTGGAATTTCCCACGAAAACCTACCCGTACCATTCAAATTAGAAAACATTATTATAAACTAACCGTTGTGAATCGGGCTAAAGTAAGGC